CAGGGGAAGGGTGCGAAGTGAAGGATTTGAGCTGAATAAACTGAGTGCGGTCGGAAAGATATGAGCGGAACAAGTCAAGAGGGGTATTCCTCTTGACTGGAATATTCCTACATTCAAAGGAGTGGGAACCATAACCATAACATTTAAAATTACGAATGGCAACAGTCATGTCAACAGAAACTGAATAATCAGGCCAACAGGCCTTTTTTTATTTATTTTATTGTTTATTATTAATTATTATATTGCAGTATAAACATAATTAATTATTGTTAATTATGTTTATACTGCAGGTCCTGTTATTAATTTATTCTAACATTAAAGGGCATTCAAAATATTATTCATTGTCAAATGTGGCCATAATTTCACTTTTTAGGTAATATTTGTATTGAAAACAATTCACTCAAGTTAAATAATCAATTTCTTAAAAGAGTTAAAGTATTTTATTGTAGTAAACAAATTCTCTTTAGGTAAAAAACAAAAAACAAACAAAAAAACAGGTACAGGCAGTTCTATTGCAGTATTTAAATGTCTCCACTTGGATATAAAAATGTCACTCAGAGATCGAGGTCCCCTCTTGGCAATTTCTTTAAAAATGTATAAGTCAAATCTTTAGTCATATTATGTTAATAGAGCTTTAAAATAAGTTTCATTTTGGGTTTTTGCTTTTAAAAAATAAACTAGAAACAGAAGTCCTGTTCTTGGCAGGATAGGCCCACCTGTTGGTAAGGTGTGTGTGTGTGTGTGTGTGTGTGTCACTAGAATGCAAATTTGCCCCCTCCTGTAATGGTTGATCACCTGGCTGGCAAACATCAGTCTTTCAATCTTGCTACAAATACCAATCTAACACACAATATCCTTGAGTCTAAGCCATACTATCGTAACTCTAAAGCCAGCATACACTGTACGATTTTTGGCTGTTTTCGGGCCAATTCTCCAGCAGTAATTTCTAAATAAATACCAGGTTGGGTCCGAATTAGCCAGCAGGTGGGTCCGCGGTCCGCTAATCTGTGACCTCTGACCTAGAGTATATTTTTTTAAAGTTTAGGAAGGGCAGGCCACCCAGGAGAAGAATTTTGGCGGTAATGGTTTTTAGTTTCCTTATGAAAAGACAAAGTCACTAGTTCAAATTTTACAACAAAAAGTAAAAAGCAGGAATACATACTACAGGAGGAAAGGAAGGAGAGGAAACCAAAGCAGTTACAGTTCTGAGCTTTAAAGCTAAAAGTTGGGGAAACTTTCACAGAGAAAAGAGTTAGTCAAGGGTTGTCAATAAGACACAACTGTGTGGTCGTCAGAATTATATCAAAACAATATCTTTTTTTTTATGTCCTTTACTGTTTTAATAGTAATGATTCCAGGAGTAATTTCACTTAAAAAAAAAAAAAAACCCAGCCTGTTCTTCTTTGACATATTCAACCAAACAGAGCTCCGATTTAGGTTAAGGTTGTCTGGTCTTAAAAGCAGCAACATTGCCCACAAGAGGCAGGCAGACATAGTAAAATCATGAGCTAAAAATCTTTGTTTTATTACGTGAAAATTGAGCAGTGACACATCTCTAACCAAAAACAGCTGAGAACCAGTGATGGGACTAACGGCATTGAAAGTTTAGTAACGCCGTTACTTTGTAGTAACGAGTAACGAGTTAGTAACGAGTAATCTAACTAATTACTTTGACTGATTACCATTTTCCTGAGTGATTCCTACAGTAGCTCATCCAGTGGTGCAGCCAGAACCCGGTCAAGAAAAGGGAAATTACTGCAGACTTAAACAGACTCCTAGGAATCCGCCTTTCCACAGGCCTGACTTGGTCTTCACAAATAGAAGTGGCTGTTAAGAAAGGGGCCTTGCAGAGACCTGACTCCCTGCTGCAGCTTATCGAGTACAAACTGCCACAAGAGCTGCTGGTCATCTTCTACACTTCCACAGAGATACTTTCTGCCCCCAGGCTGTTGATCTGATGAACATTTAACAAGGACAATGCCCAGATTGATACTATGCATGATTACAGTGATTCAGGTTTATCCCCCTGTTTTATAAAATTCCTGTAGGCTTTACTGTATACACATTTTAACAAAAAAGGAGTGTTTGTAGTAGTAAATATAATCTTTCAATGCAAAGTTGAACTATATTCACTTTCCTTTTTTATGCACAAACCTATTGTAACAGAAAACTGATGCCCTGATCTGAAAATGTTGTGCATTTAGGTGGAAGTTACTGATGGTTAATCTTTCTCCCTGCAGCTTCCTCATGGTCCTGGTGTGTCTTATCTTCAGTGTCCTGTCCACAATAGAACAATATGCAGAATTTGCCACAGGAACCCTCTTTTGGATGGTGAGTATTTTTATTTAGATGAATAAGTCTAGAAAAAAAAAGAATCTAAATCCTGTCACAGAAACACTGATGACATGTACTGTATATGTTTTACTTTGAGTAAACACAAATTGAAGTGTCTGCCTTTTTATTAGTGTTGCACCGATAATGCACTAAAATTGTGGTATCAGTATAGGCGAGTACCAAAAAATAGAGCACTGATACCATTTTGAGAGTCAAAAGTTTATTCAACTATTGTCACCCAATACAGGTAGGCAATAAAAAGTTCTACTGGATTCACTTTGTATTAGTCTTTTTCCTGCTTCACAAAGGCAGGCAGCAGCTTGACAAAGCCATGATGGCAATTATTTTACATCCAAGTAGTATGCAGTTCTTCATATACAAACACACACACACACGTATACACACACACACTCACACATCAGTTTCAAACAGATGGCATCGGTATTGGCCAATACTGCACATCCAGGTATCTGGTATCAGTATCGGGGCCAAAAAAAGCCATCGGCGCAACACTACTTTTTATTTTAGCATTATTTTTCCCTCATTGGACCTTAGTGTCTGTAGCTTTTTTCTGTAAATAGGGATAAGTAATTTGTGCTAATTTTAGATAAAGAATTTTTTTCACTCCCTTTTACTTTCTTGGAATATCAATGAAAAACTGAAATTAAGAATTTGTCATGAATAAAGACAACCCTTACTGCCTTCCTTATCAGATTATCATATATCAGCATAGTCACTTTAGTTAAATGGCTTTAAACTGCTGTAACACTGTCGCTAATGGAGGTCCCTAATACTCACCGTCACTGATATTTAAAACAACATTTGAATGAAAATTCTATGGTAGAAGATAAAAAAAGATTATTATATTTTGGGAATTTAAAGGTATTTTTTTAATCTGAATTAGAAAGGAAAATGATCTCATTATGTTTTCTTTCTTCATTTTAGCCCATAGTTACACTTGCATAGAAAGCAGATCATGATGCAAAAGATGTAGAAAATAAAGTTGTTGGCTTGAATTCACAAAGATTCTGAGATAGCTCATAATTTAGCCTAAAAGTTCCTGGTTTTTTTATGTATATCTAAGCAAAGTTAGAAGTAAAAGGCAGTAATAGGCTCTTATTAATTCATGTTGAGAACTGAACTGATGAAAGAACATAGACTGGATTAAGAAATGTGTGTTATGATGATGAGACTTAGCAAAAGAAAATAGTCACTGCATCAAAATGTTTAAAAGAAAACAGCATAAAAATAGAGGGAAAAATGTTGAGAGGACAGAGTTGGTCAGAGCAGCACCTCTGTCTGCACGGCCATGGGGGGGAGAGTAGAGGAGCGCTTCAAGATAACTGCTTTAAGGAGCAGGGAGCGAAGAAGCAAACTTTGAAATGGATTATTATCGTTTTCTCTGCTTGGACGAAGCAGCATGGGGAGGGAGAAGACCTACATGATGCAGTCAAAAGCTATGGAGGAGATAAAAGTTTACAAGTGGATTTCTAGACAATTTAGGCCATGGATACTGATTTTATTATGTACTAAACTAAAACACTTCCTTACCTCTTTTATACCTTCCTCTGTGCATGTGGAGTTTACATTATTATCATATTTGTTTAGTTTTTTTTTTAGGATTTTCAAATTATTTTAAAATGCTTATATTTAGAATAATTTTACTGTCTGCAAATAATAGATTCACATTTGAATTATGCAATATTTGTCCTATAAATTATTTAACCTTATTAAATTCATATTGCTTGGGTTGCATTTTTAATCCGTCTGACAGTTAAACTAATTAATTTCCCCCTGTAGGGATTATAAGGCTCATCTCCATATTAACAAATATGTGATTAAAGAAGTGGATGTGCTCATCTTTTACACTAATAAATCATTGTTTGGCCCAAAAAATCGTTCTGTTTCCACCATCTTCTCTTCTTAAGACATGATTAAACTCACTGAAACTGTTTTTCACCAATTCTAATATTTCTTCACTTTAGAAGCTTTGGCTTTTCTCCGAGCTTAATGTGCTTTTTGAAAGGATTTCACTTCATTAAGATAAAAGAAAACTCTTAGAAAGCCGGAAAAAAAAGATTTTTCCTAAAATTAAATCAAATTATATATTTGAGATTTTAGATTCCTTGTAAATACAGGCAATGGTGCTTGCTGTACAAACATCAAATAAACTTAAAATATCCATCTTGCCTTAGAGATGTTTGAAATAGAAAATAGTTTAAAAACAACAGAAGACTAAATAATCAAATACTCATATATTAGAGTATTTCTCTAACCCTTTTCTGATTGTTTGTGAAAGTAATAGTGCATTGTACATCAATGCATATACAGGAAAGGAAATCTGTTCTTTTAGTCTCACTAGCAAGAGTTGATAAAGAAAAATGTTCTTTTATGATACTTTTTGTAATGTTAATAACTATATTAAATTGATTTAAATTGCACAGTTTTCATTTTAAGCGATTAAAGTTCATGTTAGGAAAAGCAAATACTGTAATGAGTCACTGCAGTACTCCTTTTTTTCCACAGGATGGAGATATAAGATTTTAGTTTGAAGCAATTCTACCTGCCGGCCATCTTGGTCAGTCTAAAGATATTACTAAAGTCAGAAGACTAATGACTTTTAGCTTATACAAACAATCTGACACACACTGCTTACCCTGCACTTACCCAAAGCCTTTAATAGTTAGATTTCTTTTAAGGCTTTCATGATCACACTTGTTATGTAGAATCATTTGGCTCCACACAGACTGAGCCTGCTGATACCCGCTGGTTAGATTGACTTTTTTGTGGCCTATTTGTCTATTAGGTCTGCTAAGTGATGCAATAAATCGTGGTCTTACAACAGGGTGAGAAAAATTATGGCCGCCGTTTGGAAACCCTACAAAGAGCTTGCATCATCTGTCTCCTGCCAGCACACAAGGAATATAAATACACACGTAGCTTCTGAATGCATGCACACAGTGTGCACACAAGCTGCACAAACACACACGTAGTTCCAGCTACAGCAGAGTGGACACTGTGTTCTGTAAACTTTTGGCTAGTGCCCTTTAAAGACCTAATAGCTCCGTTTTGGTTGTTTGGTTCCTCTAAACAGTCAGGTTCTCTTAACTCTGAACCTTTTTCTTACATAATCATGCAGGTTTTTGGCTAAAAAAAAATATATCCTGTGAATAAAAGGAGAGAAATTCAATTAAAAAAACAGTTTGCACACTTAACAGCATATTTTTGTTTGCAGGCTTGCAAACCAAAGTAAAGGTTAAATATTAAGTATGAGATAAGATTTTATCTGTTGTTTTTAAACGTACGTGTAGTTAGTGTGGATGTGTTTCTAAGGGCCTGTGTGACCCCGTGGTGCAGGCTGGTGGCAGTAACTATACTTAGAAAGTTCAGGGTCAGCTCACAGTGAATCACAAGCTGCTTGTTTTGGATGGCACAGGGGACATTGGTCCTTGAGGATATTTGGCCTTCGGGGCAGCTGCCAAAGTAAAGCTATGCAGGCTGGGCTGCAGAACACAACTACACACACATCGACTTGTCTGACTGTATTTGCAGGCCCTTTCCATTGACTTCCGTTAATTTCTACAGCCTAACCGTGACCCCTACCCTAACCTTAACCATTACAGGTTCATATCTAACCCTAAACTCACTTCACACCTTAGTCCCAAAGATGACCCCTGAATCAAATACAGCAATACCCCTTATGGGATCCAGGCATTTGGCCCCACATGGATCAGTTGGTCCCCACAATGTGCTATTTGTCCAGCAAATGGGCCCCAAAATGTGTTTAAAAACAAGAACACCGTTTTACCTCAAATGCATGTCTTATTTGTCTGTCTCCTCTGCATAAACATTTGTAAAACAACCTGTGCATCAGGTTTTGCTGTCTTATGCAACTTTTTAAAAAACATTTTGAAATAGCAACTTGACTAATAAATACACCTCAGTGCGTGTTGTTATTAAGATATTTGGAGATGATTGCACGTACAAGAAAGGATGTGGTTGGATGTCTAAAGAAGCTACTTTTAAAGGAAGTTTTGGTCTTTTCAAAAGTGTTTAGAATGTTTATTTTTTCTTTTAAATTGAAACATATAAAATAGAAAATGTAAAATTTGAAACATGGAAAAATATTTAAAAAATATTTACCTTTAATTGGTATATTTTCTTTAAATAATGTTATAATTGTATGCATTTGTGTTGTTTTTAACCATTATTTCCTGATGTGTTTTACTGTTGTTCTTTGTTCTGCACAGATTTTGTTTTTAATGGGCTTTATAAAATAAAAATAATTTACGGTATTCTGAAAACATTTTATTGAGTACATTTATTTATATATATTATTTTATCAATATTTTTTTATTTAAAGAACTTGTAACACATTCCTAAATTCTCATTTATGCCTAAATTCAAATTTACTTTAATAATTTTAATAAGATTTTTTGCTAAAAACCTTCCTGTTTCACATGGGTAATAAATTAATCTGTTCTTTTAACCAGTGGCCAATCTACTAAAAAAGGGCCCATATTTTTCCATGGCACTTTGCAGTTAACAGTAAAGTAATAAGGCAAAATAAATCTCCAAAACTAACCGTTAGACAACTGCAGCAAATGATGGTGTTATAAAATCGCGATGTCTCTGGTAAAAGCATTAGATTCTATATTCAGTCCAACCAGTTTATTGATGCATGCCAGGAAAAGTCTCCCCTGTCCTTTCTTTCCAAATGTTATATAAATTTGCTGAAAACTGATGTTGCCAGTTGTCTGTATGAGTGAGAAAAGAACAAAATTAAACTTTCCTACAAAGATTACTCCATATTTTCTTGGCTAACTAAAAAAAAGTAAAACAATGTTTCATGTAAAATAAATTTAAAAGTACTATTAAGTTTGTGTGGGGGACATGCGATGAGGTATATTCCTACATATATGTATACCTGGTTATAAAGCAGGAAAAACGAAGATGGGTGATCAATGAGTATTTAAAAATTAGTATGATGCAAAACATGCAGCCATCTTTGTGCAAACATGTACCGTCTAAGATCCGTCCAGCGTCTGCTTCAGCTTTGTGAAATATTCTAGAGAAAACTGTGGACTGTCCTATTGGCCCCAAAAACTCAGCAAAGTTTTAACAACAGAAAAAGTGATACTGATTACTTTCTGAAAATAAAATTTATTAAGTTTTTTTCCTTTTGTCCTACTTAAGTATAAAATTATTTTAACGCTCTTACCAGGTGTGCCAATTATTTTCAATTGGAATAAAAGATCATGTCATTGATCTAACTTTGCAAGTCAACAGAAATTATGCAAATCTGATTTAAAACAATGTAGCATTAAATGAAATTAAAAAGGTAGCTGCATATAAACGCCATGGTTTGATAAGAAGCCTATGTTGTTTTATGCCTTTTCTGAATGGTACAGCAACATCACAAAACAGTCAGTCTGTGTGTGTAACGTGTGGGTGTGTGTTCGTGTGCCTTTTTTCCTCTCTATAGTGAGACACCATGCGACCTAATCACATTTTCACATGATTCTCCTCTGATGTGCTTCATCCTCCATCCTGACTTGATGAGATTATCGCTGACCAAACAGGCAGCTGCTTCCAGTAAACACATAGTTGCCGGTTTCAGATACGAAATACCCTCCACCCCCCCGAAAGGAAAACATCTGGGTGACCCATTTTATGGAATTATTCTGCCTAATCTCTTTAAATTTCCCAAATTCATTTGTACCTTTTGACATTCAGATTTGTATCCATCTGTCATGAAGCTCAATAGGTCTGTTTTTTTTATGATTGTGTCAGTTTGTGGCTGATATTTTAGCTACTGTAACAGGATTTTTTTTTATTATTATTATTCTGTTTCACCTATAGAAATCTGCTGAATTATTTTTGTCTCCAGTTGGATCACCTGTTTTTTCATTACGTCTTAAACTCATGGACATAATGAGATTCTTCATATTAGCTCCACTTTCAACATTTGGTGACAGACTAACAATTCAATTCAGTTTTTTTCCATAGTGCCAATTCACAAAGCATGTCATCTCAAGGCACTTTACAGTTCACCAGATCATACAGACAACCTGATTCAAAGTTTTCTATCTAAGGAAAAGCAGTTGATTGCATCGACTCATTGAATCGAGGCAATCCCTCACATTAAACATGCTTATAGCGACAGTTGAGAGAAAAAACTCCCTTTAAACAGCAAGAAATTCCTCCAGCAGAACCAGGCTCAGTGTGAACGGCCATCTGCTGAGGCCGACTGGGGTTCAAGGAGACAGAAGCAGAGATACAGAAAGAAGCAGAAATACAAAGAAACTAACACAAAGTATTACATAATTATACAATGGAAGAAAACCAATGTATGATTTTAGAAATGTTTACATATAAAATATGTGAAATTTCTGGCCTAACATTTGTTTTCAACCCCTTTACGCTGATGTCACTGAATAAAATCCAGTACAGCCTGTATTCTACTGTACATGACTCATTTAATTAGTATAAAACATTACCTACAAACTTATATATTAATAAGCAATCCCAAAGCTTTTAACATCTGGGAAAACAGTTCAATCCATCACCTGAAGTTTGATTAAACTGCTAATCTATTAAGACGTGGCCGTCCAAGAAAAGTTAACAACACAAGCTTAATTTTAAGAAAATAAACAATAATTTCATGGTAGCTCTGGAGGAAGTGTGGAGTTTCAAATCTCAGGTGATGTTAATCTGTCCACTAATCTCAGATTTATGGAGAAGTAGTAAAAAGAAAGCTTTTGTTGAATAAAAACCATAGAAAGTCCTGTTTGTAGGTCACTCCAAACCGAGTCCTAAATGTTAAGAAGGTGATCTGGTCAGAGACCAGTCTACATTGTAAAAACTGTGTGCAATGGAAAGCAAAAATGCACATTACCTTTACTTCAACATCCAGCCGGTGAGACAAGAGGATGACAGTATAACGCTGTGTGGATGCTTTTCCTCAGAGAAATATGGAAGCCGGTAAGATCTTCCACCTGGACAACACTGCGAAAATTATTAAATTAAGTGTATTTACTCTTAATTTGAGTAGGTAAATTAAATAGTTTGCTAATGGAATGAGTATTTTTACTCTTAAAATAAGATAATTGGATAATAGGCACTTGAAATAAGACAATGCAGTTGTGTTTAATTATTTTAAATGAAAATTGTCTCATTCCATTGGCAAAATACCTCTTTTACCTCCTCAAATCAAGAAAAAATTCACAAATTTTAAGAAAAATTACTTATTTGGATTTCAATTTTTTCCAGCGAAGGATCATGAACATACAGACTAAGCTGCAATTAGGTAACTTGAATGAAAGCATATTCATGTGCTAGAATGGCCCAATCAGAGTCAAGATTCACATTGAGTTTATAACCTATGCTACACTGAGGGATGTATCCTCACACTGCCAAACCTCAGCATACAGCCTCCACACCGTTCTATGGTTTGGCACAGTTTCAACCAAAACTATTAACCAATGACTAATCTTCTTGTACCTCAAAGCTTTGTACTACTTTATACTAATCTATCACTTAAAATTTCAATAAAAACAAAGAAGTATGTGGTAATGACATCGCAAAAAAGGGTACAGTTTTGAATTTTTCACATGTACTTTATCAAGTTTTCACCAACCTAAAATCCTTTGGCTCAGACTGCAACAGAAAACTTCATTTCAGGAGGAAGGCCGTTTTGATTGACAGGTCATTGTTTTGCAGTCTGCGGTGCTGTGTTATTACAGCAGGGCTAATGGTATTAAGTTACATGCAGGGGGTGGTCAGGGAGCAGCCAGCTCATGCAAGTGCAGTCAATAAAGAGGCCACCCACATGGCCAAAGGCTCCAACAGACAGTATGGTAGCTAAATATTATGGAAAGACAGTGGCCGGGAAAATAATCTCACCAGTCAGAAGGCCTTTTTCACAACGTTTAAAAAGAGGCTCATGGTGAAAAGGGAAATGAAGTCTAGAAGAACTTTCTTCTGCAGAAACGCACAACATAAAATAACAGCCTTGTTTTGTTGATTTCTATCCTGTGGAAACATCTCAGGTAAACATTTAGCCGCTCTGTTTCTTAGAAAGCTGTGTGATGCCATTTCTTCTTTGGCTTCAATCACTTAGCCGTTAACCCTGACATGATATGAGCTGTCGTCAACCATGCTATCAAGCTCCATCTCTCCAGGAGCTTGGATGGGTGGTCCGGGCAGAGCCAGACCACCTTAGTGTCTCTCTCTACTTCTGCCTCAAACACCTGTCATTGCTCCCTCATATTCTATTGTAAGTCTTGGTGATTGATAATAATAGCCTGAAATTAGTCTTAATGCACGGCATTGTTACCGCTCCTTTTAGGAACAACATGTTATCTACATCCCTTCATCCTATGTGTAGGTTTTGCTGTTTTTTTCTTTGCTCCCGTAGATTAAGATAACCATTGCTTTTTTTTCTTTTTACATTGTGATCTGCAGGAGATCGTGCTGGTGCTGTTCTTTGGTACCGAGTATGTGGTCCGGCTGTGGTCGGCAGGCTGCCGCAGCAAATATGCGGGCATCAAAGGACGCCTCCGCTTTATCAGGAAGCCCATATCAATCATAGGTGCACCTGCTCTCCTTTTTTCTCATCTAGTACAATGTTCATTTCTGTAGCTCCAAAACCTTGAAGCATTCAATTTTTTTTCGTGTACCAAATAATTAAACCCAGCTAGGTTCAGTTGTTATTTTTCGCATTTCCTTTCCTTCAGATTTGATAGTCGTCATTGCCTCCGTCATTGTGCTCGGTGTGGGGTCAAATGGACAAGTGTTTGCCACATCTGCTATCAGGTATTTTAAGGATTCTGTAAGCAACAACACATACTTTCTCCACCAATCAGAGGATAAGGACTGATCAGCTGGTCCTGTGTGTTGCAGGGGTATTCGTTTCCTGCAGATCCTGCGGATGCTGCATGTGGATCGACAGGGAGGAACATGGAGGCTGCTGGGATCTGTTGTCTTCATACATCGACAGGTGGGTGAGGAAATATAAAAACCTTCCACAAGAAGATCCATGCTTTACACTCCAAACATATTCATACTTCCCGTTTAACGTATTTATTACCCTTGACATTTAACAGAGTTTTATGATATATCAGTTTGCACAAAATGGTGCAGTTTTTTTTTTTTTTTTCATATAAAAGCCTGAAATCTGTAGTGTGCTTATCTTCTGCCCTGGGTCAAGCTTAGTGAATCTAATGCTAAAAATGGTCCCCAACCTTCTCCTGAACGCCAGCTCACAATAAGAATAGCTAGACAGGCTTTGTAAAAAGCCATTCATAATTGTTGGCAAAGGTTCTCAGGTTTTTACTTTGACTGGGCCATTCAGGATTGTTGTTAAGATGGAAGGTAAACTCCACAGCCCAGTCCCGATACTATCAGCCTTTTTCCTCTGTTAACTATAGCAGTCCGTGTTGACATTTACAGTATTAGCCTGACTAAATATGTATTTCAGATGTCTCAGATGTTTTTCTTCCTAGTCTAAATGAAAATTTCAGATATCGTAAATGCAATTCCTACTAGTACTAATCTACTTGTACTTCCAGATATCCAAAATAAACATTCTCTAATCTCAGATCTCCATAATACTGTTATTGTTAATCATAATGAGAATTTCAGATATAAAAAAACGAAAAAAAAAAAAACATTCTACATATCCAGAAATCAAATTCTTGACATCGAAAATATAATTCTACTGCTTGAAATATCTTAACAGATATCAAGTACTTATTTTATGACTGGTTAAATTAGAAGTCCAGATATCACAATTCTAATATGAATGGAAAAAAGAGATTTCATTTTTAGTTTTAAGAATTGCATTTGAAATATCTGAAATGTTGATCTGAGATGGGAAGAATGTTATTTTAGATGTCTTAAATATTAGTATTGATTAGGAACAATGAATTTTAGACATCTTTAATAAATATTCAGTCAGGCTTATAAATGTCAAATTGGCCACTTTTCTGATTGATTGACTTGATTGACAGTGGAGTAAGTTACATGTCACATTGGGTCAATAGTCAAAAAGAAGGTGCCAAAAGGAGGAATATATATATATATATATATATATATATATCAAGATTTCAAGGTATCTGAAACTTTATTCTTACCCTCAAATTTAGTTTTTGCCGACAAAAAATGTAATTTAGGAAATCTATAATAACAGTTCTGACTAGTAGCAATGTACTTTTTACAAGGAAGAATAACGTTTTAATGGCAAATGGAACAAAGGAGAGGACAGTGCTTCTATTAAATCTTAAAGCAGCTTGCCATATGTCTCCTTATATTCATAGCCATCCTTCTGACCAGCCTTTGTGTCCCGGCTGAACAGTGTCCCCCAGCATGATGCTGCCGACACCATGTATAATGTTGGATATGTTCAGGATAATGTGCAGTGTTTGTCTGTTGCAACATTTAGCATATATAGACCAAAATGTTCACATTTGGTTTCATGGAGCCAAAGCATCTACTACTCTGGATCTTCCATGTTTGTGACAAACTGCTAGGAGCTCATGCTTTTCATAGTGTGTCATTTTGTTGAAACCTTTTGAATGCTTAAAATTGATTAAATAAATACCAATAAAATGCTTTTCTGTTTGTGATTCTAGGATGACTAAAAATACAGTTGAATTTACATCAAAACTTTTGCAAAAATGCTTAGTTTTAAACAGTAGTTTTTATATAAGTCTGTTTAAAAAGATAAGTAGTGCGCTCTCAGTGGGCTGCAGGTTTTTCTGTGGGAAAAAATGCAGGCATAAGTATTGCTTGTACCCCAAGTTAAAATCCCCATTAAATGTACTCCTCATGACATGACTGTGTGTGCATGAGCAAAAAAACCTGAGGCAGATCTGGCTTTATAAGGAGAAGAAAAGAACCAGTCAACCTTCCCACATTTTTTTTTCCTTTGTACTATTGTACACTTGTTTTAGATTTCTTTCTTGCTGATACACAATAGAGTCAGAGGATGTAACACTCTCTTAATCTCTGAAGTACATCCGGTTGCTTTTTGCTAGACCTGACCTGACATTCATGTCTTTAACAAACAAGAGGTGCAGAAATTCACATTGAACGCTGAGTGGAGAGGGTCATTAAGTTACTTCTAAGAGAGAATCTAATGTGATTCCCTGCCTTTTTTCTGCACTGTTGGATGATTTACCAAATTATATGCTCTGCTTAGTAGAAATCTATTGCTTTTTAAAGAAGTAGATTGAAGTGGAATACCCTTGGGTTCTTATCATTGCACTTTAGATCCGTTAAAGCAGCTATTTGCTCTTAGCGTGTCAAACTCAAAGCAGATAGCCTTAATGATATAACAGTGCAGCAACAGTTGAAAATATATTAGTTTTTGGCATTTAGTTTCTAATGCCTTCTATGGCCTTCATACAAGACTTTAAAAAAGAAGGTAAAAAATTGAATGAGGGAAGGAGAGAAATGTTTACTTAAAATTGTAGAAAGTCTCACTAAATTGATAAAGAGACAATGTAGATATTTGTTTTCTTCATGCCACAAATTAATAAAAGAAGAAAGTAAAGACAAGCATCAAATTTCTTAACTCAAAGAGCTATTTTTTTTTTTACCAACAGTTTATAAAATCTTATGTGCCATGCTAATTCATTAAAAATTCATTGTTAATTATGAATTTATCCTATTGTTTTCACTCATAAATTAAAAACGGATTCTTGGGTCCTTTCCCAGCATGAAGTTTTGGGTCTGTTCTTCCCTTTCACACAACAATTAAATGGAGCAAAATGTTCTAAGTGTTGTTTTACAAGAAATGCTCAATAAGTTTGCTTGTTTTTGTCCTATTAATTATGTTGGGATATGATATCTTTACCAGACCGTGTCTTCCAGACCACTCAGGTCTTCTAGTTCCTGCCTCCTCTGTACACCCAGAACTAGAACTAAACATGGAGAAGCAGCATTTAGTTCCTATGCTCCTCTTATCTTAAATAAACTCCCAGAAGACTGGAAAAGTGCTGAAAGCCTGAGTTATTTTAAGTCAGTTAATAATCCGTTTGTTTAGAGCTGCTTTTGACTGTTGAAGTTAAACTGCCAACTGAGGTATTATAAGTCAAGGTTGCTATTCAGGTGTTTTATTTGTTTGTTTTTTCTGTATTTGTTTGCTTTTATATCTACCTAATGTAAAGCACCTTGAATTGTCAGTGTCCTGCTTACAACGTTCTCTCCTAAAAATATTCTCAAAATGTATGTTATTAAAGAAAGTATGATATATATTAAATTTTAATCACAGTTTTAATCAATTCTTGAGTTTAATTTCTTGCTTTCTCTTCTGTAACATTGCAGCGAATAACTTCGTTTTGATTAGGGAATTCAAATCCAATCCATTTTTTTTTCAGTCCAATCAGTTACTGATACATATACTGAGCGTATCCAACACTGATCCGAAACTACTGTTGAATAAATTAACCATCAAGCATCATGCTTCACATAAACATTGTTAAAAATGGTAACAAATTAATAGAGACATAAATCCTTACTAGCTAATGTGTGTGTGCTCTTTGTGATGAAGTAATCAGTGTTCCAATCCTAAAATTGAAATCCCCAGATCATTGTAACTATATCATTCATCCAATATCTGATCAATGGGTTAATATTGGAGACGTTATTGGATCGGATCGCTGCATCTTTTGATTTAATATTGCATATTTATATCTTTAATTATGGAGGTCTCCTTTTTTTTCCTCCAAGGAAATTTAGGACTTTTGACATCAGAGAATATATATATGCAAAAAAAGTTTATTTAAAAAAAGTTTAAGTTTTATTTTTTTATTAACTGAAATTTACTCCATTGTGTTTAGTTATTTATTTTATTTTAATCTACAATTGTCTTGTATTCGTTTTTTCATTAGCCGTGCCTTGAAAACATTTTGCTAATAAAACAAAGACGTGTTTGCATAGAGGGTAGCTTTTTTGCAGCCTAAGAGAAGCGGTTTTGAAATATCTTTTCAAGCTAGGACAGTATGAATCCTCCATTTAGATAGGATTTAGTTAGGATTTTGAAATCATTTCTCCTCCCTACCTTCATGTTTTCAGGAGCTTATCACCACCCTGTACATTGGCTTCTTGGGGCTGATCTTTTCCTCCTACTTTGTCTACCTTGCGGAGAAGGATGCAGTGGATGAGGAGGGCAAGACGGGCTTTTCCAGCTATGCAGATGCCCTGTGGTGGGGCGTGGTAAGAAAGCAATACACACAAAAAAAAGTCTTGGTGTTGAGAAAGTTTTAATTTATTTTAAGCACAAAGAGCTGTGAAAAAGTATTTTAACCCATTCCAGATTGCCTCTGTTTGCATCATTCTGAAATGTTTCAGATCAAACTAGTTTTAGATTCAGACAAAAATAATTTAAATTAATGCTAAAACATTTTTGTAAAGTCATTTAATTTATTAGGAGAAAAAAGTCTTTCCAAACAAGCCAGGCCCTATCTCAAAAAAAAAATAGTTGTACCTTAAATCCAATACTTGTGTCACCCTTTACACTGACAACTACCATTTCAATGAGTATTAAATCCACATTGTGGATTTTACTGAACGGTTTATTTTAGCCACTTTTTTATTTAAAATCATGCCACAGCATCTGAACTGTACGGAAGAGGATTAGGGCCACTGAAAAGGAAAAAAAAATAGTTAACTGATTTTTAAACTTTATTTCAGTTTAACATGGGAAAAACAGAATTCTTACTTTTTTCTCAGAATTCTGACTTTAATCTCAGAATTCTGGCTTTTTTTCTCAGAATTCTGACTTTTTTCTCAGAATTCTGACTTTAATCTCAGAATTTTGGATCTTAATGTAGGTGGGCACCATGAAGGAAGATATGTGGGAGCACTCACCTTCACTGACAAAGATGTGAGTTGTTTGAGGTGGCCAGTGACACATTGGTGTAAAATGATGGAATTAGGCAAGTTTTTACATGTCCGAGGGATCCCCTCATTAATGGGGGAGCAGAAGTTCATTAAAACAAGAGAGCTAGTCTCTAAAACAGACATGGCTGTGGCTTGATGCTAACATGTTTGTTAGCTTTCAGAATTCTGAGAAAAAAGTCAGAATTCTGAGATTAAAGTCAGAATTCTGAGAAAAAAGTCAGAATTCTGAGATTAAAGTCAGAATTCTGAGAAAAAAGTCAGAATTCTGAGATTAAAGTCAGAATTCTGAGAAAAAGTCAGAATTCTGAGAAAAAAGTCAGAATTCTGAGATTAAAGTCAGAATTTTGAGATTAAAGTCAGAATTCTGAGAAAAAAGTCAGAATTATTAGATTAAAGTCAGAATTCCAAAAAAAAACTGAGATAAAATTTTAAAATCAGTTAACTTTTTTTTTTTCAGTGGCCCTAATCCTCTTCTGAAATGTGGACATGTTTCCATAAATCCCGACAAGACACCCAGATCCCAAAGCAGCTGCTACCAACCGTCACCCTACCACCACCATGTTGGACTCGCAGTTTGATGTTTTTTATCTAAAATTTCATCATAGGTTAAAGTAGAAATAACATAATGCAGTCCTTAAAAAAAAAAAAAAAGATAAATAAATGACTATTTTTCTCTGGCATTCTCAAGAATTTTTTGCTTATTTGCTTACATAAGTTAAATGTATTCTTTTTTTGCATGTCTGAAACAAATAGGTATAGCAAAAAAGCACAATAAGATGAAATATTCAGAAAGGAAATACTTTTTCAGGGCTTGAAATTTCACATATATTTTAAATTCAACATTCTGCTACTTTTTTAAGACCACCTTGTTATTAGGTCCTAGTTAAGGGAAATTAATGTGGGTACATCAGCTGGATCAGTTACAAACGTCCTTTTGCTTGTTTTCTGTTTATCACAGAAATTTGACAGAAACATTTAACCCTACGCAGATGTAATGATGTTTTTCCTTTCTCAGAGCTGCCTTCACCCCAGCTTGAAGGTTCAGATTTCCAGAGGATTAATTAAAGTTTTGAATTGAAAGTGCAGAATAATGAGAAACCTATGGCAGCCCTGTGCAGGGGATCAGTGTGTCACAAAGTAATGAACCATTCACCCCTTGCAACTTTGCCTCAAAGAACTTTTAGAGCACCAATATAAAGTGTCAGTTCCCTTAATTAAAACTTTAATTGCGGGGTTGCTACCTTTATGTAACATGGGTTACAAGGGTCACGCTACTCCTCCCTCCTGTGTTCAGGCAGTTATTTGTGTTTTTTGTTCACAGCACACAGAAAAAGGAGTCCCACTTGTGGATTCGCACCTCTTTGTGGTTTACTGAAACTGTAAACTTGAGAGTCATGATATGCTCTTACAATAGGTGGGGCTGAGGAATGCAAGGGTTGTGTGTGCGTCTCCTGATTGGACCCTGCTAAGCTTTTCCACAGCACATTCCTTCTCTTGGCATAATTTGAACATTCGGATGTGCAGGTGCACAACTCAGCTGAAGACTGAGCCAATGCTATGATTCATATCCCATTCTCCTAAAGCCTCGCTTCCTGACCCCGCCGCCGCCAACCATCTTTTCTTTTAGCACATTCACTGTTGCTGATAGGTAGATGACCATTGTTTGGTCAAAAAAACGTTCCAAAAAATGTCTCATTCTGTTTTGGACAAGAAAGGGTCACCTGTGGGTCTTTAATTTAATGAAACTGGAAATTAATACAGAATAGATTTAATAAATATTTAATTAATCACATAGATCTCTGTTAAACAAAAAATATTTATTTTATAAAAGTTAATATAATTATTTAATGACTTAATAAATTATTCATATTCCTGCATTTAAGCACCCCATGAAGTCAGTTAAACTGTCACACATTAATTAAAGCCAAGGAGGCGGGATTAGGGCCACTCTCATAGCAACTCTGACATCTGATTGGCTGCTTATAACGAAACAAAATAAACAAAAATAAATAAGCAAAATAAACAATTTCTTCCTGGTTGTCTTTTCGTCAATTCAATTCAATTCAGTTTATTTATATAGCGCCAAATTCACAACACATGTCATCTCAAGGCACTTTACAGTTCAACCAGATCATCCAGTCAAATTGATTCAAAGTTTTCTATCTAAGGAAAACCAGTTGATTGCATTGACTCATTGACTCAAATACAATCCCTCACACTTACAGTAGCATGCTTGTAGCGACAGTGGAGAGGAAAAACTCCCTTTAAACAGGAAGAAACCTCCAGCAGAACCAGGCTCAGTGTGAGCGGCCATCTGCCGAGGCCGACTGGGGTTCAAGGAGACAGAAGCAGAGACACAAAAAGCAGCTGTAAAAGGCGGCCCCGTTCACCCCTAGTTTGGTCTGAGATAATGAACCTGAAACAGCTTCCTTTGGGCTAGTGGGGTGGGAGCTGCCAAAGACTCCAGCAGAATCAAAGTTAGTTCCGCCTACTAATTAACACCAGCGGAGGCTGGAATTGTTTACAGCAAACAAATGGTAACACTTTTTTAAAAACTCCTTTACAAATATTCTAGTGAAACTTTTCACAGTAAAAGAAAACTAAGAAGTTGTCTTATCTTGGTCAGTGAGAAACAGCCAATCAGATATCAGGGTTTTATGGAGAGTATCTAGTCCCGCCTCTTTGAAGTTGATGGATGTGTGCCTCATTGCAGGAACATGAAATAATCTATTAAATCATGAAATAACTATATTCACTTCTTGACATTAAATCTCTATTCTGTATATTCTGGACTATAGAGCGCACCTCACTACAAGCCGTACCCACTAAATTCTTGGGAAAAAAACAGTAAGCCTACTATATAAGCCGCACCGGGCTTTAGCCTAGTCTCTTAATTAGTTCGGCAGCTTTAATGCAGCAAATAAATGGCAAAATGTGTGAATTCAGGACATTTGTTCTCCGTTGTGCCTTCTACCAATGTATTCTAAATGGAGATGTATGCTAAATGAAATACAGCCCCTTATGCTTTGATTTACAACTTTGACTTCCCCTTCTGGTGGTTAGGAAAAATCAACAGATATGCTGCAACTTCTTATGAGCCGCATGGTTCAAAGCGTAGGAAAAAAGTAGCAACTCATAGTCTGGAAACTACAGTATTTAACAGACTCATATAATTAATTATATAGTTATTAATTGTAGTTTTAATACATTAATGACTAATTTAAATAACAATTTTAATAGTTTTTTATTTATTGTATTGCGGCACTTGTACATTGTGCCACAAGCTGTAATTTATTATACCTCAGGCGTGATAGGCCTGTGGGTTAGGTTTTGAAACATCTGAAGAACTGAACATTCTTTAAAGTTCTGTTCTATCTGTTCTAGAAAAATATTAAGTTATGTGGCACACCTACAGACTGTGCAAATAGTGCATGCAAATATAAATAAGGAAAATCATTGAGCGGATCATGGTAATTCTGAATGAATAGTAAATATCTACTGCTCAGATTTGATCATCTGTGGACAAGACTGTTAGTTTTTCACCATCAGTTTGGCCTGAATGGGAAATTATAGGATAGCATCAATTTTTAACTAAACCATAAGATATACTCATTTCAGTTTGCTATGACCAAACCACTGGAAGAAGATGCTCAGGTTAGATGAGACCAAATTTGACTAGTTTAACCTGCATGTACAACTATATGTGGAGCAATGATATTCTCTCTGTTAAACATGGTGGTGGCACCATGATGCTTTGGAGAAGCTTATCAGAGATGCATGGAGCTAAATATAGAGCAACCCTGTAAGAGGCTGCAGAAAACAGGAGACTGGGAGAGAGTTTCATCTTCAGCCATTTTTCTGATCCTAAACATGCAGCCAGAGCTCCAACAAAACCGATTCGTTAAATTCTTATTTCCGTAAGAATGAGCCAGTCTGGGTTATTTTGCCTCCGTTTTAAGGATTATGGGCTACTTTATGTTGTCTATCACATAAAGTTACAATATTTACATGAAAGTTTGTATGTTTGTTGTAACAGGGGGTGAATACTTTAGCAAGGCTCTTTATAATTAAAAATCAGAGCTCTGATGTGTGTGTGGATTTGAAGCCATTCTTGGGCCCACACTCTACAATCTGAATGAAAGGACCTGTTTTCTGAATAGAGCATTCCACTCTTATGTCAGGAGGACATTGTTTAGTCATCGGATTTGTGGATGAGTGATTAAATCCCCCAGAACTCCACCCACCCCAACATACACCAACCCGCCTCTCCTGCCTCCGCTCTTTCTTTCTTTACCCTCAAAGCTCTTTAAAGTATCTCACCTTACATCAGCCGCTTTGTGTTAGCGCGCAGCGGTGGCTCACCCAGCGATACCCCACAGACAAGCGCTCTAAGCCGAGCGCGCTCTGAATGTGTCAGAACTGGCTCAGCTTTCAGAGTGGGCCGCACATGCGAGCGCGAGAGCTATTTGTTTTCCCTCCTCAGCCCTGCAAATTCCTGCACTCATTGAGGATTAGTGGATGGGAATCTCATTCCCTTGGAGAAGAAAGAGCCCCAAATGCCACAGCAATCGTTCAGACAGTTGTGGGGCAACTCAACAATGGCTGATGAACTTCTTGATTGTCTAAATCAAGATTGAAAGTCTTTGAATGACCATCTGATAGCAGTTGGATTTAATTAAAATGAAAGAGGATTTAATATATCTGTTTAATTTGACATATGAATATACATTTCATTATGATCCCAGATGTCGTTCTCATGTTCGGGAATCTGATCTGGGATTTGTCTGCACAGTTTTTTGGAAAAGCATGTTTTGTGTGTGAAAATCTGGAATCCTTCCTTTTCTTCAGGTGACCGTCACCACCATCGGATATGGAGACAAAATTCCTCAAACATGGATAGGGAAGGCCATCGCCTCATGCTTCAGTGTCTTCGCTATTTCTTTCTTCGCTCTACCTGCTGTAAGCATATATTTTTTTCTAAATTATCCTTCCTTTAACCTTTACTAAATTGGAGTACATGTGGATATCAATATCTCTAACATGAGTATTAAAGTTTTAATATACTTTTTTTTCTGTTCAGGGAATTTTGGGTTCAGGATTTGCCCTCAAAGTCCAGCAGAAGCAGAGACAGAAGCACTTTAACAGACAGATCCCAGCAGCAGCCTGTCTCATCCAGGTAGTGTTTTAGAACCGGAAATGTTTTTCTTTAAAGGGTGGAAGGATACCAACATTAAAATATTGACTTTACACATATGGCTTTCAAGTTTAATTCAACACTTCCCATTTCTTCCCAAGTTAGTCTAATGTTATCCTAAGATTTGACCATAAAAATATAAAATCAGTTCTCAATGGGTACAGTAGAAAATTAAGGTTTCAGACAAATTTTACGGTGCTAAACCACAGCTTAATCAGTGACTTTTCAGTTGTTTTTTCTTGTCTTTGTGATGCAGTTTGTTCACTAACTCTCTTCACAAAGTGTTAAACTCAAAAATGAACAGAAAACAAAAATAGACAAGAAATTATATTTTTTAAGTGTTTAGCATCAACATGAATATAGGGAATAACATCATTTTTTTCATACTAGAAACATTTTCTACTTTTATAACTCTTCTTCTCAAGGTGAGATGACTCATGTAATTTGTAGTTATTGACCTTAAGATTGAATTAAAACAAACCAAATGGGACACCTTTCAGTGTTGTAGCATTTAAGCCTAATAAAGAGTAAAGAGTACTTCCTGTTAGCAAGTTGTGCAACAACTTACAATATGATCGGTAGACAGACATTATAATTGACCTGTGAACCTGTGCAGCATTTATTAATGTCAGATAAGTCACTACTAAGATTAATACTAAAGTAGACAGTTTATATTTTTGGTATTCATTAGATTTTCCTTTTTGTGACGTTTTATTTTCAGACACTCTGGAGGTGTTACGCTGCAGAGAAACCAAACGGCTGTGCTGCTACATGGAAAATGTACGTCTTAACTCCAGAAGGTGTGGCAGCAGCGCAGGTGGACCACAGCAGTCCCAGCATCAAGAAGCTGAACATAGCGGTAACTGTTACCTGCATGTTTTCAATAAAAATCTCTCCTATTAAAAGACACAACTCCGAATCAGTCAGGCTGAATTATTTTACACTGAATAATAAATCCTGTTTAAATTCTGATTTAAAAAGCTGTTGCATTCATATACATCTGACGCTGACATGAATGTCTCTTTGTGCTGTTCACCTTTTGCAACAATATTAGCTATACTGTGCAGAGACCATAGAGTAAAACGTCTGAGCAAAGTTCTCACAAATGTACACACATGGTGAAGAACACAATGCACAGAAAAACACAACTACCCACACACAACAGCTCCTCCTACCCCAAAGGCTTGACTCCTGCAGGATGACTTAAGGCCTTTGTCTCCGCCGGACAAAAGCCCAGTCAGTTGAGATGATGTCACCACCGCCTTTCTCATGGGAGTAAACCTTTGTCAAGTAGTACAACGACAAAAAAATCTTTGTGTCGCATTGAGCCCACACGTATTGGAGAGAATGAAGGCTGCTTCCGCTCATTTCTGTTTTGGCGTGTGACTTTCTCTGCTGTCTTCCCTTCTATCTGCCTCTTCTCAGTCTTTCAGGATTCTTCTCCAGATTTTCCCGTAACCAACTCTCTGTCACTCTCCTCTGTCTTCTCTCATCTCCTTCTATTGCCAAAGGTTGTCCTTCACCATGCGGCTGAATGTGTTTCCTGGTCTTTGTTCCACCTTATTGTTTTTGTTTTGCATCTTCCATGCTTTTCTATTTTCCATTAATGACACAGGAAACATTTGTCCTATTAAGTTAACAGCAGCCCATGGTGCAATTACCTGAATCTGACCCAATCAGTCTTAATAATGAAACTACTTTAAAGGTTACATCCGTAATGTTTGCTGTTTGGATCTGCCTAGAAACAGGACATTTCACACACGTACTGCCTCACATAACACACAGCTATGATTACGTTCTATGAAACAAAGTTTAAACAGGCTAAACTTACATCACCAGATCCAGAGGTCATGACTTGATCAGATTTAGATTTGTAAAGGAAGAAATGTGTGGAGTTAGTGCGCACATGTTGGCATGACCTACTTTTTACACAAGGTTGAATATGTTCAGTTATCATATAAACTTATTATTATTTTTTTAGCAGAAACTATTTCCAAACAGGGAAAGGGTCAAAATCAGATGCAATGAGCAGACGGCAGACAGACTGTCACTATTTATGATTCTGTTTGCGATAAAGATAAAATAATGCACCCTTAGTAAGCAGGCTATTGGAAATTACCAGCTGTTCCCACAGTGAGGGGCACTCTCCCTGGGGGTTGTAGTATATTTGCAAAGGGGGCATAATAGAAATTAAATAAATAAAGACCATTTTTACAGGTAAGTTTTATATATGGGAAAGCAAAATTCTGTAATATGGTAAAAAAAAAAAAGAAACTAAGAAAAGCACATGCAATTTCAACTTCTTGTGCTTTAAATGTAGTTTGATTGAGTTATTTGAGTTATAGTTTATTGTATTGCAATATGTAATATCACTGCAGTGTTAGTTAGGAGGATTTCTTTGACCAAACTATTTTATTTTTAACTCACAGTGTTGAAAGATAAGCAATTTAAAAGCAACTAGTTAGATGGTGTAGAAATTCTACTCATTCTACTTTTTCTACTGCTGTATACTGTAGGACATTTACGAAGTCAACAGCTGGACTTAAATAAGCTAAGTCGACTCACATCTGGACAACTCAAAAGTTGCTTTTTTAAAAGTCAGAAAACATTTTGCAAAAAAAAAAAAAAAAAAATGAAATTATCTCTGAAAATCAACTCGTTTTAAGATTTCATCTCAGCGCTAATGTGATCTGGATTCAGACTTTTCTTTTGCCAGTTGGCACAGGGTTTCCAAAGACAAACAAATATGCATTTCAGGTCATTTCGAGGAAAAATTTATTGTTGAATTTAAATGTATAGCCTGTTTGTTTTTCTCCTGCTCTGCTGCTTAGTTTGGATTCTACTTGAGTTGGATTTTATTCTCCCTCTCCTTGAAGCTAGAAATAGATTTCATCTGAGAGTGTTTACCATCTGTTCCTGTTCACAAGTGAGATCAGTTCAGTGTCTGCAGTGATGTGATGCATTTTTAATGACTGAAAATAATTCTGGGGAAACCATTAAAACCTAAAAACATGACCTCATTGCGGGCCTTTGTTTACAGCTAACTTTCTTATTAAACTGCTGTGTTTAAATGACCAAATTTAATAGATCAGTAGGTTATTTGTTATGACCGGATGTCTCACGTGTGTCTGGCAGAAAAAGGGGACTAAGAGAAGACTGAAGTCCAAAGGGCCTGGCTCTCTAGGTGTTGCCTCAGAGAGAGCTGTGTCGATCCCTCAAATCACCTATGAGCACATCGACGACTCTGTGGAAAAAAAGGATGTCTCCTATTTTATTGCACAGCCAAGGGGGACAAATGAAGGTAAAACAATATTAGAAAATGTGTGTCTCATCACTTTGCTCTACAGTTGCTAATTTGTAATAGGTTCTGACATAGCTCCTTTCAGTCTGGTGGATTTTTCAAAAGATGCCTTCTAACCTTTTATAAATTGCAAATCTTCCATCCTGGCGCTTCAACCTGCAGAGATTACACACTAAAACACCAACTTCCCCTTTATTACCGCTCGATTAACCTCTCCACTCTGGACAAGAGCTTTTGAATTTAGACTTGGCAATCCCAAAAGATTCTCTGGGGTCATGAGGACCCTCAATGGCATTGGGGTTCAAATTTAATTTAATGGTTTTTACACAAGTGAAACAAGCTGAATGAATACAGTGCTGTACAAATGAATACAGTGCTGCAAAGTATTCCTTTTAACCTTTGACCTTTGTTCCCTTAATCACATTGCAACTGTAAACTTCCATGTAGCATATATAATTTTATGCCAAACACAAAGTAGTGTGTAACTTAACAGTGGAGAGAAAATAGTTCCTAGTTTGAGGTCCTAAAGTCTGCACTGAGATATTTACCCTGCTGCAGTTACAGCTGCAAGCCCTTTGGTGTATTCCGTTTCCAGCTTTGTACGTTGTTCCTATCAGTTCAGACTACCTTCACTGTCTTTTTTCTGTCAAAGGCGTGAAGCTGTTTCATTATGGGGATGACACACAGAGCATTTCTGGCAGAAAGACATGTTTCTACCAGGCCCTGATACCGAACAATCGACTCATTCCTCTGCAACAGTGCTAAAATACTTTGGTTTTTAACATCTTTGTTGGATTTCGGAAATAAAACTTCAGCCAATGCTTATCTCATTGCAGATATATTCTCTCATTTGTATGGAGTCTCTTCAAAATCAAAGGAAAAGTGTATCTGTAACTAATTATGAGAGACTTTGTTGACACAGACGATCCCGAAAGGACAAGAGACACTTCCTGTTTGGATTATAACCTCAGACAGGGAAGCCGACTAAACACAGCAAAACAATATGTCGATTGGACATTAGTGATACGACACAAAAATATGAGCTGCAGTCAACCAGTTTAATTTTTTTTTTTTTTTTTCATTTATTCTGACTTTTCTTTCTCGACCACAAAGTTCTTGGAGACATGTTTTTACCCTGTTGTTTTTTTTTTTACTGATGCACTTAACAGTGACCCTCGAAAACTACTACATGCCATAAATTCAGAAACAGACTTTTGAGCTCTTGGGTCAACAGCTGAAAATGAGATGAGATTAATTTAAACATAGTTGGACTTCAGGTACTAATCAGTTGACATCCGAAAAGAAAATAGATGATTTTGCTTTACTTATCAAATTAAAGTGGGTGAATAAAAATGCACCCACAGAATCCCCTTCCTGCCAAATAAACATGAGGTTGTGATTATAGAGTGAAAAATAGTAAAATTAATTTAGTGGGGACCTTTTTAGGGCACTATTTTGCATACTTGGAGACATTAAATGAACTCATGCTGCTATTAGGAACTTGAAAATCCAGGATCTTGTCAAACTTAAGCTGTGGGGGAAATTAGAGGTCCATAACAGCCTCATTGTCAAGGTGATGTTTTTCTGGCACTTCAGACATGCTACCACATAGGTTGTGCTTTTGTGTTGTCAAAATTATTTTTGAAAAACTTCGCACACACCTATTCATTCCAAATGAATAGGTAGGTGTGTCCGATCTTTTGACTGCTACTTTGTGTTTATGTCTTCGATGGAGCCGGAACAAAAGCTAGAAATAGATCTGTTGGCGGTGAAAGGGTAAAGATAATGGACTGAGATGTGTTCTCACCACTGCAGAGTGAGAAAACAGACATTAGAGCACTCTGGGCCTCTTTGCAGAGGATGTTTCAGGTTATGACGGAAGAAGCTGTTATGGGATGACTCCTCATTTTCACGCAGTAAACAGAGACGCTGTCCTCCTCCGCTTGGAGCCAAGATGGCTGCCAGGTGCCTCACTTAAGCCACATGGAAGCCATTACAGCCTTAGTGGTGATTAGAGGTCATAGTTACAAGCTCTTTACGGCTTCAGTAGCCCCCTCCCCTCACCGGCCACAGACACTCTCATCAGGCTTAAATGGAAACTACTTTAAAATACCAGCTCGTCAAAGTTACAAGTGGGAATTCCTTGTAATCCTGGTTACAGTTTACTAAGGCAGTCACATCAAAGCCAATATATTTTATTAGAGTACACATGGTAAAGATTGATCAAAGAGTCTTAAATCAACAGTTTGATCTGCATGTGTCTAATCTCAGGATGATTTAAAACGTAAGCCCATACACATGATATACAACTGATGGAGGGTTATTGGGGAGGTGGTTTGGCTTCCTGTGTTAAAAGCCATCCCAAGCAAATGAACTGACCCAGATTCCAGGTTAATAAACAGACCTTATGAGTTTTTTTCCTGTCAAAGCGTGCTACCATAAAAAGAGCTGCTGTGACATAAACCTGACATAAAGGCAAACCATCACTATAAGAGCAGCTACCAACACCAGGAAGAGCTTAAGACGTCTGCTTAATTGGATGTATCTTGGAAAACAAGCAGACAGTATGTCTGCATGGGAAAGAAGCAATGAAACTCAAGAGACAGGACATAGCATCCTCTCTCCATGCACAGGGTTAGCGTTTGTATTTGTCCGGCAAATGCTTCATAGTTGTCTGTTAAAGAATTGTACTTGACCACTTGGAGGGGAAAAAGAAACAGGATGAGCCATGAGACATTAAAGGAGTAAATAAGTCATAGTCTGCAGGCTGCTGTCGTTAATAATGATGTCTGAGTTAAAAAAATGTGGCGCTGTAGAATCTCTGCTTTAGATCCATTAAGGAATGTCTTTCCTGTTTCATTAAACCTAAAATAGGGTTAGAGATGGCACATGGGACAATTAGGTTTAAAACAAAGGTTTTATTGAGAGTTATTGGATTTTATTCATCCTTATATATCAAGTACTGTACTTGTAATGCTTATAAAATACAAAATATTCTATGTTTTTTTCTTTGAAGACTAAAAGACAAATGGGAGTTAATTGGAATAATTTACAGAGGATTTACATTTGCTGTCCAAACATTGTTAAATTTCTGTGTATATTTTCCTTCTCTTGCAGGGATTGCCAGAATGTTCAGGAAAGCAGGTGAGTTTTTCTACCAACCTTTAAAGGGAAATGTTTAAAATAAACTGCTTTGCAGATTTATTTTTTCACTTATTCTTTTAGAGTTTCATCACAAAGTTTTCTGTAACTGTGAAATAAAAGGAAACCTTATCTTTACATTTTCAAAAGAAAACATCTGATTCGTGTGGCATCTATATGCATTTAGCAACTTTAGTGCAATACCTCTAAGTAAAGTAAAATAGAAGTAGATCAAGCTGTTGATAGTTTAATCTCAGGATTTAGAGGTTTGTTGGAGAACATTAGAGAGCACATTGCATCCTGAAGAGCAAAGAACCCAGCAGACAGGGTTAGAAATATTACCTGAAATGTAAAGAGTATGAATCAGCTGCAAATCTTCTAAGACAAGGCACTCCACCTTAACTAAAAGCAAGCAAGAGGATCATTAATCTGAGAGACAGCCAACAAACTGTTTAAATGAAGCCCTTGGCAAACCTGTCAAGATTTTAAAAGCTGATAAAGGAATACTGCAAAATACTTGCAGCTGCAGCTTTTTAAAAAAAGTAATAGTTTTGCAAAACACCACCTTTCAGACAAGTGATTTATGTCAAGATTATACTTTAAGTACCTCGGTCTGATAGAGATTTATTATATATGTCTTGTCTTTGCTACACCTTTCCATACAGCCTGTTAGTGTTGGTCCATATCTAAACAGACTGGTACATTTAGTGCCAATGCGTGTTCACTGCTGGACAAGGAGCCACTTCACAAAGTACTTCTGTTTGCTATTAAAAACCTGTCTGTGTTAATCATTAGCCAGCCTGTCCCCTTTAATGTGGCCCAGACTGTATTTCAATTAGACATTCTGGCTGGCTGAGGCTTTGTCCTCAACCGGACCGAACCAGAACCAAACAGAGACACTCTCAAACTCTGGTCACAAGTTGACCCGGCCTGTTTTCTCTACTGGGTGCCCTGCCAACAGAAAGGCTGAGCAACAGGACTTGAGTGATATGGACTGAGTCCTTGGGGAAACAGATCACACACAGGCTGGAACACTGCAGAGAGGTAGAGAGGTGGAGAGATGTAGAGTTGATAAGCTGCCATTGTGGAGCTTCAGTTGATAGAAATGAACAAGTCATTGTTTGATTTTTGTCATCCCACTTATCTGTCTGGTTCAGCCCAGCTCCCCCTGTCTAAGAGAATAACTCAATGCACTGCAGTATCTTTGCCTTGTTTTTCTTTCACTCAAATGGCTTCTTATCTCACCACATTCTGTACTTTGAGGCAGCAAAACAAGTTTACATCCACATAAAAGTGATTCCAAAGGCAGCTCTGGTTATGTTAGGAAATTCTACCTCTCTTACTTCCACTTCCTCTCCTATTCCCTCTCTCCACTTCCACATTTGACATTGTCAAACAAAGCGGATGATGGAATACAAGCAGCTTGGAAAGGCTTTACTTGAATTGGAACGGTCATTCAGTACTTCGACGCAGATTTGCCTCGCCATTCTTCATCACAATGGAGGCTTGGTGCTTTGGAGGAGAGACATGTCAAACTCTGCTGACAGTCTGGCTGCAGGTCAAGACCCGGCTACACGTTGTTCTTTGCTGTTGTTTTTAGGCACCCCAGCCAGCTGCACAGCTCAAGTAGAGCTCTGCAGTTTTTTTCTCTGTCTGTGCTGAGTTCAAACTTCTCTGAATATCCTCCCATTTTTTTTCACATTTTGTAGAGTGAGAAGCACCAACTACTGGGATTCTTATGTTCAAACACTAAGCCATGTATTATTTTGCAGATGAAGGCAAATAATTCATGGGTAGCATTTATCTTTTACACAAAGTCTATAAGTTGTATTATGCATTTATATCCAGCCACCTTTACTTTGAAATACCTAAATGAATTTCTCTGAATTCCGGTTCAATTGCATGTTTTCTAAGCCAGAACAGTGCTTTGTTTTTTGGTCCACTCTATAAAGCCTGGAACACGATTGCTATTTCTGACTATTTGAATCAAAAAGCTTCCTGGATGGGAAGCGAAACGTCATCAGACTTGGAAACAAAGTCCACTGGATTGCTTTTTATCTTTTTTTAGAATGAATTCCAAAACTAAGCCCTCTTCTTTTTTCATAAATTAAGAAGAAATAGATCTTGTATCGGTATAAATGAATCACAAGGAATAAGACAGGTCAGTGATAATGTTGTGGATAACTTTAAAGCTAAGTTATGTTTTGTTTATTGAATTGTATATTTGTACAGCAGAAAATAAGCAGTCCACATAATCTTAACCACAGAATACCTAAGATGAGACATGGTGCTAGCTCTAGTAAAAGGCTTGAGACAAATCTGGCAATTCACCTTCTTGCAGAACAATGACCCTAAACCTACATAAGAGCTTTAACTAATTTGTTTCTATCTCAGTTATATATCTATGCTAGAGCTACACATTCAATTCAATTCAGTTTATTTATATAGCGCCAATTCACAACACAAGTCATCTCAAGTCACTTTACAGTTCAACCAGATCATACAGTCAAATTGATTCATAGTTTTCTATCTAAGGAAACCCAGTTTATTGCATTGAATCAAATGCAGTCCCTCACACTAAGCATGCTCGTAGCGACAGAGGAGAGGAAAAACTCCCTTTTAACAGGAAGAAACCTCCAGCAGAACCAGGCTCGGTGTGAGTGGCCATCTGCCGAGGCCGACTGGGGTTCAAGGAGACAGAAGCAGAGACACAAAAAGTAGCTGTTAAAGGCGGCCCAGGAAACACACAGCCAGGCAGATGAGCTCCGAGCCAACTCCCATGTCAGAGGATGAAGAGAGCACATCCAGCCAGTCACAGTGAGAGAAACAGGACTACACTGGAAAAAAGGCCAATCTCCAGCATCTATAAACAAGGGTGTTTATGGAAGCAGCACAGCTGATGTTTCTCTCCAGGATGGCGTCACAGCCAAACAGGAACAGACCAGATGAAGCTACTATGAGAAAAAGCAGAGAGAGCATAACATTAGAGATTGAACTAACAGATTCTGCAGATTGGGAGAATAGAGACAGAATGAAGCAGAATGATCAAATGGGGGTCCCTATGTCCTCCAGAAGTCTAAACCTATAGCAGCATAATTATAGAGATAGCTCAGGATAACCTGAGACACTCTATCTATAAGCTTTATCAAAAAGGAAAGTTTTTTCAAGGCCCACAACCAAAGTCATTTGAAAATATGAGATAACTAATGCACAGACACTCCTAATCGTAATTAGCTTTACCTGTTTTAAAGAAATAAAAAAAATTATTGGTGTTTTTGATGTGTAAAGCTGGTAGGTAAATACTTGGAGTCTCTGGAGTCTGAATACAAATGCACCCGAGACTTAAGAGATTAAGATTACAACAAAAAATATGTATGAATTTCCTTCTCTTTCACAGCTATGCACCATGTCTATCACAGTATATCACATATGGTTTCACAGTAAAACGCATTAACTTTGTCTATATTTGATAAAAAAATTAAAAAATTCATAATGTGAATACTTTTGCAGTTTATGACCTATGTGATTTGTTTAAGTCTTCTCATTTTTCTTCCTTTTCTTTCTTTTTCTTTTATGCATCATCTATCTTTTAGGCCCTCCTCACCACTCATGGTCATCTTTTACTCTGAGCTGCCCTGCTTCCCCAGGTATCCCTCTGCTCTTTTCTGCTTTCTTATGTTTGTAAAAAACAGCACACAGGAATCTTTTTTTTATTTATTTAATAATTCTAGGTAAAACCAATTTCTATATAATAATAATAATAATAATCGTGACAACTTAGCCTATTAAAGTTGTTTCATTCTTTTTTTTCCAGCTTCCTTGCTTTGGTCAAACTTGTAATTCTATCTTATGTCTTTGTTTCTCTTTATAGTAAAGGGGAGTGGTGATCAAAGTGCTTCCATAGACATCTCCCGCGCCAACAGCCTCACCGATGACCTAGATGACATGAGTGAGGACATCCCCCTGCCTGTGGTCACCAACAAGAACCAGTAAGTAACCAAAAGTCTACCCTCAGCGATCCACTCCAAAGCATCGCCCTCTGCTGACCTTCATTATCTGATTCCTTTTAGACTGATTTCCCTCCTGGTCATAGTGCCTGGAGTTCTTTTGTCAGAGCAGAGAGCCACTTTAGCTGTTTTCTAAATGAAGCTGTTTTGTTTAAGTTTCTTGAGGGTTAATGAGACCCTTGAGAGCCAAGGCCGTATCAGGTACAGAGAGGGTTGTGAAGGGGATTATCCTTTCATTCTTGAGAAAAAAACGTCATTGACGTTTCTTTGAAAGGCTTGTAAGACATGTTATGGTACAGATGGCTTGTCATCACATGCCCTCATTGAACTCACTGTTGTTGCTGCGTGAATTCAGGGTGAATGCTGATGCTCTCCCTCCCACTAACCCGGTCATGCAAATTGGTTTCGCAAACCTGGGTGTAATTAGATCGGTTTGCTTTGTGTGTCGTTGGACTTCCTGTGTTATTGTAAAGCATGCCGACTAGGGACTAACTCAGTCATCCACTAACCATCTATCTTTTCAGTGGATTTGACATCAGCACTGCCACATAAAGCAGTAACTATAGTGCTACTGCTAAATAGTAGTAGACTCTTATGGGTCTTCTGTTGAGGATGGAGCTTGTGTGGCATATTTATGTCCAGATGAGAAACGTATAAGATATGTTTAATCAGCTCAAGTGCCTCTCTGTGTTAATGCTGCCAATGCTGAGTGGTGTTTGTGTTGAGTTAATATATTGTAATGTTGTGAGCTACATTATTACATCAATCCTAAGGTGAAGGCTTATGTGCACCAAAGCTGTGAGGATACGGTTGTTATGTGGTTCTGTGACACAGTGCCACTATAAACATAATAATATACATAACATGAGATTCATAGGTCACATATTTTATGGCCAAAATGCACGGCATATCATTTCCCACCTTTATTATTGCTTTTTAGAAGAATTAGGCTGATACATTGGATGGTTAATATTTTTGGCCAATATTACTGTTTTCTTCTTGTATCAGTATCACTTTATATGTGCATTTGTTTGCTGATTTATTACTCCATTCAGCAAGGATGCCTTGATGCATAAGGTGTATGCATTCCCTCTGTTTCCTTATCAGCATTAGCCTTAATGCATTTAAAGAGGTACAACTGGTGAAGTTTTACCTCTTAGCACTATTATGCTGCGTTCACACCGGACGCAGCTGGCGCGACAGAAGAGTTTACATGCAAAGTCAATGGTTGACGCGCGTCAAGGCGCAGCAAAAGGTCCCGCGGCGCGTTTTGAGCAGCAGGCGCAGCGCGTCTGACCAGCTGAAGCAGCGCGTCGGGCGCGTTTAAGCATCTGACGCGTGTGACGCGCCGCAAACGCGTGTGACGTGCCGCCGAACGCGCTGCTGCTCG